CAACTTTTTTCCTCTGAATCTCATCTCCTGTTTTTGTATTAGCATTAAGTCACCTTATTGAAGGTTTAAGGAGTCATTCCCTCCTCCTGTCTATTGTTATTCATATCTTTTGCTTTCCTTTTCTCTTGTGTAAAATGACCCTCAATGTGTTCATAAGCTTCTATACAACATAAGAAAAAACAATTTCATGAAGAAAAAGTGTCTCCTTCAGGTTCTGATCACTTTGGAATGGTTGGTAGTATGTGTGAATATTAGCATTCAAGCTCCTCTCAGGCTGCAGCAATGTTTATTTTCTGGGGTGAACTGGAAAATGAAAAACATAAAAGTGTTTGAGCTTGCTTGGTTTGTAATGCTGTATATCCCCGAGGGACTGCTTATATAGTCTACCTTGGAAATGAATGGAGTTTTCAGGAGAGGTCTTGTGAAGTTGTATGATTCTCCAATCAGAATAGATGTTGAGCTGAGAGGTGTCATATTTTTTGTCCTGTAGATCTATATGCATAATGTTTAACATTTACAGATCCTCTCTGTGCACTGGGGCCCCAAAAAATTACTCGGATCCGTTTTTAGCCGAACCCCATTGTACTTGAATTTACTAATTTTCGAAATAAATGTGGATTTTTTCTCGTTTTCTTTTCAAGCAATTTGTGCCAGATTTCTCACCTTTTCTGTGAACTGTACAGATTAACCATATAGAAAAGACTGATGTCTGTGGTGCAGTAGTTAGGCGCTTCACCATTACACATAGGAGACCCAAGTTCAGAGTGGGGAGAATTTCTGAGTATCTCAGTCTTTCTACTGAGATGTTGTATCCCTCTCATTCTGGGTTGGCCCTGACAGGCAAGTTCGAAGCCCGCTTCTAAATCATTTAAATTGTGTCAATGAAGAGGTAAAAACGTTTAGATCGACAAGAAAAAGAAAGGACTAATTGTGAAAAATGCTAATAGCAGTATATTAGCGGTATGATCCAACAGATCACATATCTTTATCTGTAGAGCTCATGAGATTGAGGTTTTACTATTTGAATTCCTGTTGAGGAAGTTTTCTCTTCCCTGCTGAAGGTTTTTCTCCTTAAAACCAGGATGAATGCCACTCTCTTATATTTACCTCGTAGTTTCAGTTTTGTTTGTTTGTTTTTCTTGTCTTGCGTTCATCTTTTGAGCTAAACAAAATCGTGTTTTTAAAAAATCACGTGTTCTCTTTAAACCTCTCCTCTTGCTTGTGCGCTTTTAATGCTGTCTACCTTTACCCTTTGCTCGACATTTAAGTTCTAGAAGAATGTCAGCTGGCATTTGTCAGAGAACATATTATTGTCAACTAACTATTCCGTCACTTGTGTTGCAAAGGTGAATTGGTCCGAAATGTTATGTGCTGCCTTTTCTAAAATTGAGTATTGTGGGTGCTCATAGAAGGTTTAGTTATTTTGTCCGCTTTCCCATGATCAATACTTTTTTTTTTATCATTGCTTTTATGCAGTGCATGAAGTTACATATAGTAGTGATACCTGGAGTTTTCAGTCTCTAAACATTGAGTTTGTTTTTCCATCAAAGAGCTTCAAAATTTCCCCCCTTTTATATTCCCTTTTTTGTATTGTTGTAACTATTTTTGAATCGTGCAATATTTGTACTGTTTTCTCTCATTCCTGTTACAGATTAAAAAACAAAAACACATAAAAATATTCAGTACGACGTGCTTTGGGTTTGCGTTTTGTGTGTTTTTTTTAGAATAGTTCACGTACGACTCGTAGTGGAAGTTATTTGGTGTGTCCTTATTCTTTTCTTCTCCTCTGTTGTTCCCATCTTTCTTTTCGTAGATTCTTCGAAAGGGCTGGTAAGGCGTTCAAAAACTCTCCTCTTTAGCCTGACTAGAATAGCAAGCTGAGTTTCTGTTGGACAATCTTGTTGTGACGAGTGTACGTGGTTTATATTTAATTATTTATTTGGCTCCATCCCTTCAGTTTCCCTTTGTTTGTATCGATCAACTGCGTCTCTCTCTCTCTCTCTCTCTCTCTCTCTCTCTCTCTCTC